TAATCGAAAATGTCCAAGGATAAAATAGTCATTTTCGAGACATGGAAGGAATTTTTGAAAATGTCCAAAGGTAAAATAGTCATTTTTGGGACATGGAATAAATTTTCAAAAATGTCAAAGGGTAAAATAGTCATTTAGGGACATACATGAAATTTTAAGAAAATATTATGGGCAAAATAATAATTTAATGATTTCGGAATGAAAAAGGAATAATAGAAAATGTTTAAAGGTATAAGTGGAATTTTAGAAATAAAGTAAAGGTATGTTAGGAAAAATAATTAAAATATAGAATGAAATTAGAAATTTTAAAGAATCGAGCAGTGTGTTGTGACGTGTGTGGGTCGAGCTGAGCCGAAGGCGATGCCCAGAATCGAGTCATGAGATGTTATGTATTGGCTAGACTGAGTCAGAGGGTTCCTACCCAAAATCAGTCAAGTACTATTATTTATTAACCCGAATGAGCCGTGAGGACAGGTGGTCCAGAATCTGACAGATGTGAATGATTGTTGTTGTGTTTGAATGGTACCCGGGGTGGTACAGAGTATATTAGTGTATTAACTATATCAGAGGATTCAGATGATGTCCCAGAATTTACTTATTGGTCGAGTCAGGTAGACTACGAGATTAGGTGATGAGAAGTCGATGAGGGATGATTGGTGGCGCACTCGGAGGGGTACTCCAGAATAAGTGATGAAGGGCGCCAATAATCTCACTCTGTATGGAGGGTGATCAGAATGGTACTGTGAATGCCGATCACAATGTGCCCACAGATGATAGCCTCTGAGTTCGGTCATAGTTAGGGTAGACTTCCGGAAGGCGTCTTAGTGTATTGATGATTTGTAATTGATGATAATATGTAATTATTATTTCTATATCTATTTTATTATATTGAATGATTTAATACTTATCCCTATTTTTCCATGTGAATGAGACTGCGATGATTACTTTTATGTGGGAGCAGATCAGGAGTTGAGAGGTGGAGATGCGACTACTAGACAGTGGGATAATTCAGTGAGATAACTTTGTGGGAGCTACTTTTGCATGTATCTATATAAATAAATTATGTTACTATATTTTGAAGTTCAGTAAATGAACCGGGATTTCATTATATATTACAATTACATTGTTTACTATTTTACGAATGTATCATTATAATAACTATTTTGCGAATGTATCATTATAATAACGATTTTTAGGATCGTTACACTTTACTCATAATCATCTAATTCATTATTAAATGTTGCTGTAGTAAATATAAAATACAAATAAATAACGTTTTTTTTAATCGAATCATATAACATATACCATATCTTAGTTAGGTTAAATTTCCTCAATATATTCAAGAGAGATCTATCTATTTCAAAAATCTTATTTTTATAATTATTTTTTAGTAATTTAATAGATTAATATATTGATTTATTTTAATCATTAAATTAGAAAATAATAATGAAAATAAAAAATAAATATCTAATTCTTATTAAAAAAATTTATATAAAAAAAATATATAAATATTTTAGTACATAGTTTCTAAAGTAGCTAAGCTTAAGACATCTTTTCTTTTACTACATCATTTAAAACAATAAAATAGTTTACTAGCTCAATCATAATAATTTAAATATGAAAATGGGCATCAAGTATAATTATCTAAAATAATCAATTAAAAAAAAATAATTTACATTTTATTTGCTTACCGAAGAAAAAGCACGAGATTTATAATAATAAAATACCAAAGATATAGAACTATGTTTATTCAAAGTAAAATAGACTTATTACCACATATGTCATCTTTTATGAAGCCTTTGCATGAAAAAGTGTAATAAGGCTACTTCATTATCTTGATTGAAATATTAAAATTCCCACGAAATTTAAAAACACTAGTATTACTTAAATTAGCATGATACTTTATAAATCAAGTGAATTTCAATGGTATAACATAGCTACTTGCGAGATAGTATGATATCGAAAAAGAAATTATTATTTCCCTTGTCATAGGTAACTTGTACTTTAGTAAAAAGAGGAAAAAAAAAATTAATAATCCTTTGACGAACTAACTAAAAGAAAACAAAGTCTATCGGAGATTCTTTCTAAGATCTCCATCATACACATGCACATAGGCAAGTAGGGAAAACGACAAATATCACATTTGGCACCTCCATTGCTTCTTCTATCACAACCTTTTTGTTTTTATATTTTGTTCGTGTCACCGATCTGATAGAAACCAATTTTCATGTCGCCAACACAATGAAAACTATCTTTTGTTGCGTAGTCATTCATAATGGAACTAGTTTTGTCAAGAATATTTTACATACAACCTTAACAATGTATTTTTAATTATAGTCTCTCAATTTGATATAATTGTTTTTAGTCCTTGACAAAATTGCAACAATTAGACTTCCAAATACGATTATCTATTCCAATCTTAAAAAAAAAAAAAAAAAAAAAAAAAAACTTGCTGAATTAATTAGTCCATAGAAAACTCTTGACTCTAGAACTTAACCAACAAAGAAACACGATTCCCCACTCCTTCAATCATTCAACTAATTTTATTGTTTAAAAAAAATGTATGGTGATATTTTTTTCCTTTATTAGGGATTAAATTAAAATTTATAATTTTGGACATCTTAATCAATACTATAAAATTAGTTACATTTATATATATATATATATATATATATATATATATATATATATTATATCTTTAATCAATCTGATATTTTAACACATTCTTGATAATTTTATTTTTTCATCACATCCTTTCATATTAAAAAGAATTTTTTTTATTACACTATCTCACATCAAAAATTTATTCCAATAATCAATTACAAATAATATCTAAATATTTAATTTAACATCAAATATTGAGAGAATAACTTTTATTTTGTTTTACTTCTTGTAAGTTAAATGTCTTATAGAATTTCAACCTCCAAATGTCCTATTGAAAACTCTAATAAATCCTCCTAATTTATTGAAAAAAGTATAATCTTAAATAATTAGAATTAATTATAATTATTTTATAGATATTCTACAATCCATTTGACAATTTTATAATTAATCAAAATTAATATATAAATATCACAATTTTCACAAATTTATAGAGATCATAATCAATGAATTTTGTTTTTAAGACTAATTTTAGTATATTATTTTTTTTTTAACTAAAGGAATGATGTTTATCTGAGGACTAATTTATTTTATTTTTTAAAATAATTATGTGAAATTGAAAAGCATATACAGCTTATATAAATATAAAACAATAATGGTGGTGCAAAAATGAAACAGAATGGTGTGAATGGCGAAGAAAAGTGAGTTACAGAGGGGCACCCCACAAGAAAGAGTGTGTATTGTGAAGGCCCAAAGGAAAGATGAGATGAAAGAAGGAAGAAGAAAGAAAGAAAGAATGAATGAATGAATGTGGGTAGTCCTTGCTAGTTAGTGATGAACATCGGAAATTGAGGGGGTGACAGCGTATCGTGCGCACTGCTGTCCTTTTTTGGCCTATCCTTGAGTCATGTGCAAATGCACTCAAGCACATGGCTTACCCTTCTTTCCCTTTCAATTATATTGCCCTCACTCACTCTCCTCCCAGACCCCACTCTTAACCACCCTACCCATGTGATTCCCCTCCATTTCCACTCTCCACAAAATTACTATTCTCTCCTCCCCATTTTATCTCCTCCAATCATCACATCCATGCATAAATGCCTTTCTTGCACCCCTGATATCGTTGGTTTCCCATCCCACTTTTAAATCATTTTCAAATCATCAAAGACGCAGTTCCTTTGTGTCCATTCCTCCTTGCCATGCAATTTTGTCCTCTAACTTTTTTACTTTTCAGATAACTTTAAGAATTTCAATTTCACTTTTTGTACATTTTATGAGTTTTTTTAATTATTATGATCCTCCTTCGTACCCAGACGCATGTTAAAAAATTCTATACTATATAAGTAAAGTATAATCTCCGTTTTATTAAATTGATTTTATAAAATTAAATTAAGGATTTCTCAAATTATTATATTTTTTGTTTCACCAAATTCCCCAGTTTAACAAAAAAAAATATATTAATTATTATAATAATATATGATGGTAATTATAAAATTTCCTTTCCATTGATCTAACGTTTGATACATCAATCAAAATTTGAAAGAAAAAACTTTTAGAAATTAGTTCAAAGCGGATCAGTAAATTTTATAAAAATAAACTAAATTTATTTTGATTTTTTTTTTATGTATTTTGTCATTAAAAAACAAATTATTGCTTTTAAAAAACATTATTATGTGTTATTGAAATTTAAATCAAATATTATAATATACTAATTTTTCAGTGTATTTTAAATATTTTTAATTTTAGTTTTTGGTGTTATTATATTATGATATTATATTTTGCTGGTGTTATTTTTTATATTATTTAATCATTTATATTATTTTATTAACATCGTTCGATCACTATTATTCACCGGTTCCACTATTGAATCTTAAATAATTATGTTACCCAATTTAATGATTGGTCAAGTTTTGAAAACGAATATCATTTTAATTTAATAATTTGAAAAAATAATCTTTAATTTTCAGCCATGCTCAAAGGTTAAAAGGTTATGATCACTGATTTAAATTGTACAATTTATTATTTAATTCAAATTAACACTTTCTCCAAATAGTAAACCCTAAACCCTAAAGGAATTATGACTTGATTGGCAATAAAACTTCCCTCTCCCTCATTCTTAAGTTGGCAAGTTGAAATGGATTATATTATTCTATTATTATACCTTCTATGAATATATAAAATTTTTCTGCAGAAATAATTCTGATTCACTTGTACATATTTATTTTCTCTTTCAATATTTTAACAGTGATGTGTTGTATTTTTCAAGAATGAATATGCTGAATGTTGCAGCATCAACAACCTGTAAATAAAATAAGATTATTGAATGGTGCAAAAGTTTGGGATAAGATGGTAGCAGAGAAGAGCCATCAAAGGAACAAGAAGCTCACGTTATCATGAATATGAAAACAGGTTACTGGTACACATGATATAATCACTAACATATATATTATATAGTAATAAACAATACACTGTGGAATCCAAAACTCCAATTATCCAATAGGCTTGCTTTTCAGAGTTAAAAGCCAACCACGTCTATTTATAGCCCTTACAACTGCTGCATCTGAATCAAACCAAACTCACCAAACCATTTAGGCCTCTTAAACCAAAGGCCCCTCAAACCCCTTCCCCACACTCTTTACTGTGTCTTTCCTTTCCTCTCTTTCTCTACAGAGAGGTCTTGGACCCTTTTGTGCAGTGCAATGGCCATGGCTAAGCTTGTCTGTGTTCTGCTTCTGGCTCTCCTTGGCATTTCCATGATCACGACTCAGGTTAGTCCCTTCTAAAACAAACTATCATTGCACTATAAATAACATGTTACATTTATCTATGTCCTCTTGTTTTACACTATGTATGCTCTAAGTCTAAACCTTGTTTGAAATTAATTTTTACTGTGGTTTCAGGTTATGGCAAAAGATGCTGCTTATCACTTGGACCGAGTGAGTATTCTTCTCTTTGTTTCCAACATTTTCCACCTCCCTCTTAGTCCATAATTAGATACTATTGTATGGTCTGAAATTAGATCAGATCAATAATAATGTGGTTTTAGAACATGTAATAACTGGTTTTTATTTCGTTGGCAATTTTCAAAACTGAAGATTCATATCTTGACTAAATATTTTCCATTGATTTTCAGAGTAATAATGGACCCGGGAGGAATTATGGACCTGGGAGTCTAAGGAGCTCACGTGAGTAATCATACTCTCCATGATATTTACACTTAGTTGTACTATTTGTCTCCATGGTTCATGAACCAAAAGTTACTGAAGATTACCAAATAATCTAATGTTTCTGAACTCACTCGCTTTCAACTGTGAATTGTGTGTGATCTGATGGATCATGTTTCTGAATTTGGTTTCATCAGAGTGCCCATCTGAATGCTCAAGAAGATGCAGCCAGACACAGTACCACAAGCCATGCATGTTCTTCTGTCAAAAATGCTGCAAAACTTGCCTATGTGTTCCTCCTGGCTACTATGGGAACAAGGCTATGTGCCCCTGCTACAACAACTGGAAGACCAAGCGTGGAGGACCCAAATGCCCTTGAGCATGATTTCACCAACAATTTTATATTGCTCAAAGTGGAACCACCAACTATGGCCATTGCTATGTGTGTTTTGGGCAGCACCTACTACAACTGGGTCTTCACCAAGACTATTATATTAAATTAACCATCTTGTTCTCTACCATGAAATTAAACCAGTGATTAATTTCATGAAGAAACCTACATATATATATTACTCCCTTTCCTAAACAATGTGAGGGCTGGTTAATCAATTATCTTTGTCATTGTTCTATTTTTGAGTTTTATATATAATGAAGTTATTTTATTGTGGTCTTGTATAATTTTTTACGACAGAAATGTTATGTAGGCTGAAGGATCGATCCAAATACCTTATTTAAAAATTATTGTACCTCGTGATTCTCTGCAATTTCCTGTACTCCTGCGTGTAGAATCTGGCATCTGCATCAGAAGCAGGGCCACATAGCATAAGTAGTGATAGTCACAAATGTTATTGGTCGTACGAAATACTTAAAGAGAAAAAACACACACGACCAAATAAAATAACTGATGTCCATATACCTCTAACATGTCCTCCAAAACCTTAAATATTGTGGAGACTCTCAGTTTTTTGAGAAGGAAATGAAAAAGGTTCTCTTTTATGTGAAATTGGAAGAAAACCTCTGATGTACTCCTCCGAGTACAATTGCATCTCCTAGTTTGAAATTATCAAAAATATTCAAAATATAATTTACAAAGATTTGCGACTTTATCTCATTCTCCAATCATAATTTTTATTTTGAAAGTTAATTGAATTGCATCATTAGTTAGATGTTTTTAATGCTGTTATCTAATTACATATTGACATTTACGTGAGATAGTTGATTTTTCATGTAACTATTTTAAAAATCATAATGATACAATTCTTTCTCTCAAACAACTTTGTTTTGTTAAGCGAATACAAAGTAGTGAGTTGCCTTTTCGTCCCTTCTTTAACACAAAATGTTGGGCCTTTTACTATTCACCAGCCCAATTGCAGAAGAAATGTCTATTTCTTCTTATCACTACTCTCAACTACCACTCTGCCTCTCCCCTTTCTCGTCTCTCTCTCTCCTGCAGTACAACACTCTCGAACCTAGGTATTTCTCCTTCACCGATCAGCCTCTTTTCCTTTCTCCACCGATTAATTCTCCTATCTGCTTCACTAATCACGTTTCTCTTATTTTGCAGGGATCGTGTCAACCACACAACAAGAGAAGAGAGGATTCTACAAAGATAAGTATTCACAATCATAACTTTTATTATACACTCTACATTTACATGAAAAATGAATAGTATTTAAAGCTTGGTTCTGTTACAAGAAATCTGTTAGTCTCAACAGTTTCTTAATACAGTTTTGGGTTACAAAAAGTCAACACCCCCCTTAATCCAAAACCCTAGATTAGTCATTCCAATCTTCTTCCTGAGCTTGTTGAATCTTATTTGCTTCAGTGGCTTAGTGAAAATGTCTGTTGTTTGCTCTTCTGTGTGACAATAAGTCAGTGTCAGCTTCCCTTTACTCACTTGATCACGAAGAAAATGAAACTTCGTGTCAATGTGTTTGCTCCTCCCATGTAGTGTAGGATTCTTCGATAGGTTGATTGCAGATTTGTTGTCTACATTGAGTGAACTCGGTTTCGTGTATTCCAGCTTCGACTCCTTTAAAATTCTTCCGACCATACACTCGACAAGCCGCTTCGAGGCGGCTATGTACTCTGCTTCACATGATGATAGAGCCACAACATTTTGCTTCTTTGAGCACCAAGAAATTGGTGCGTTCAAATATCTGAATAAGTAACCATAGGTACTTCTTCTCTCAACTCTATCTCCACACCAATCTGAATCAGAAAATGCCTCCAACAGTGCTCCATTCTGCTCATCACCTTTTGGAAAGAAAATTCCCCAATCCGTAGTGCCTTTTAGATATCTCAGGATGTGTTTAGCAGCTGTCAGGTGGGGTGTTCTGGGGTCATGCATGAATCTGCTGATTAAGCCTACTCCATAGCTCAAATCTGGCCTGCTATTACACAAAAACCTGAGTGACCCTACTATCTGCTTATATAAAGTTCCATCTACCACTTCAGCCTCATATTCTTCAGTTAGTTTTACTCCAGGCAGTACTGGAATTACAACCTCATTGCACTCTTCCATCTTGAATCTCTTTAAAATCTCCTGTGCATATTTCTTCTGATGTAGAAACACTCCACTGTGAGTGTGTACAAACTCTAGCCCAAGGAAATAACTCAGTGTTCCTAAATCTGTCATCTCAAACTCAGCCTTCATCTTTTTTTTAAATTCTCCAATCTCTGCATCTTCATTTCCTGTAATAATTAAATCGTCAACATACAAGCACACAATGAGTGTGTTTGTATGACTTGTGTTTTTCACATACACACCAAATTCAACTGTGCATTTCACAAATCCTAGTTTGGCTAGAACTGCATCAATCAACCTGTTCCATGCTCTAGGGGCTTGCTTGAGCCCATACAAGGCCTTTCTTAATCTGTACACAAGGTGCTTTCTCCCTTCTTTCTCAAAACCAGGTGGTTGTACAATGTACACCTCCTCATCCAATGGGCCATTAAGGAAGGTTGACTTCACATCCATTTGAACCATCTTCCAGCCTTTATAACTTGCTACTGCTGTAACTAGTCTTACGGTCTCCATCCTAGCTACAGGAGCAAATACCTCTGTGTAGTCAATTCCTTCCTGCTGTAGGAAGCCCTTTGCTACCAATCTGGCCTTATGTTTGGCCACACTTCCATCAGGTTTTAATTTTAGCTTGAAAACCCACTTCACATCAATAGGCGATTTACCTTGTGGCAGTTTGACTAATTCCCATGTTCTATTTTTCTCAATCGCCTCCATCTCCTCTTTCATAGCATCCTTCCATTCTCTCACCTTTAAGGCTTCCTTCCAGGTTATGGGTTCTGTGTCTGCCATCAAAGCTTGATGAACTATATCACCATCTCTTGTAATTATACCATCTCCATAAACTTCATGTCCTGCAAGCCTAGTGGAAGGGAACTTCGTTCTCTGAGTCCTTCTATTGGTTAAAACAGCAATTGATGACTCAGTTTTATCTTCTAAAACACACGGGATTTGTGTTACAACCTCCTCCTTTTCTTTCCAGTTCCAGTTGGCTTTCTCATCTACTATCACATCCCTACTAATCACCACTATTTGTTTTTCAGGGTTATACAACTTGTATGCACCCGTTGGATGGTACCCAATCAAGATCAGGGGCTCACTTTTGTCATTTAGTTTCCTTCTCTTCTCATCTGGAATATGTCTATAACATATTGACCCAAAAATCTTCAAGTGTTGCACTTGTGGCTTGACACCAGACCAGGCCTCTTCCGGTGTCACAAACTTCAATCTTTTAGTTGGGCACCTGTTAAGAATGTAGGCAGCAGTAGTTACTGCCTCTCCCCAAAAGTCATGTGGTAGACCTTTTCCTTTCAACATGCACCTTGTCATATCAACCAACATCCTGTTTCTCCTTTCAGCCAGCCCATTGTGTTGTGGTGTATAAGGGGCAGTCACCTCATGCACTATTCCCTTCTCTTCACAAAACTTGTTGAACTCACTAGACTTGTACTCACCACCTCCATCAGTCCTTAAGATTTTTAGCATGCTGTCAGCCTGTCTTTCAACATGAGCACAAAATTTGTTAAAAACAGAAAACACCTCTCCTTTCTCCTTTATCAAGTACACCCATATTTTTCTTGAAAACTCATCAACAAATGTGAGGAAGTATTTATTTCCTCCTAGTGATGGTGTGTCTAGAGGACCACACACATCGAATGCACCACTTCCGAGTACTTGTTTAGCTCTCTTTGGTGCGTAGTCTCGTAAATGCCTTCCTGGGTCGTTTTCCAATCACACATCCTTCACAGATTTTGGTCGGTAGTTGGATCTGCGGTAGCCCTTTTACCATATGCTTGCTGCTAAGCTGGTTCAAACTTTTAAAATTTAGGTGACCGTATCTGTAGTGCCACAACCAACTTTCATCCTCCACATTATCAGCTGCTAGACACTGTATTTCAGTAGTGTCTAAATTCACTTTAAACGTCCTGTTCTTGGACAATGGTGCCTTAATTATGAGCCTCTGCTGTGAGTCATAAATCTCAATCAAATTCTGCTGCATATTCATGGTGTAACCCTTCTCTAAAAGTTGTCCCAGGCTGAGTAAATTATTCTTCATGCTTGGGACGTATAGAACATCATTCATGTAGGCCACCTTGCCATCCTTCCTTGTAATCATTACCTTTCCAATTCCTTCTGCCACAATGGAGCTATTGTCTGCAAATTTAACATTGTTTCTCACACATGGATTGAGGTCAATCAACCAATTCCTGTTTCCAGTCATATGATTGGAGCACCCCGTATCCAAGTACCAAGACATTCTATCCTCTTCACTGCCTGTTGTTGCCATCAATAATACTTGGTCTGAATCAGACCCATTTCCTTCTTCTTGTGCCATATTTGCTTCTTCTTCTTTTTGATCCATCTTTGTCGTGTCCTCCTGCCAACACTCATAAGAATAGTGTCCATATTTTTCATAATTATAGCACTGAATTCTTCTTTTATCATATGGTCTCCTGCCACCTTTTCCTCTTCCTCTGTTCTGGTATCCACCTCTACCATCATATCCACTATTCTCTGATTTTTCCTGGGCCACTATTTCATTGTTTTTGCCATTATTCCTACCACCATTTCTGCCTCCGAATCTGCCTCTGGACCTTCCTCTACATCTGCCTCTCCAGCCATTTCTGCCTCTGCTTCCATAACTCATCTTGGCCTGTAGAGCCTGTTCAGTCACCTTCTCATCATTCTTCCTTTCATTCACTCTCTGTTCATGTGCTTCAAGAGAGTTTTGCAGTTCTTCTAGTGTCATAACATCAAGATCTCTTGACTCTTCTATGGCCACCACAATGTGGTCAAACCTTGGGGTTAAAGTTCTCAAAACTTTCTCTACAATTCTGCAGTCTCTTATATTCTCA